TTGAAATAATTAGACTAATTGGTGGATTAACCGTCCAGGTTAAGACAAAATACATCAGTCCAGCAAGACCAGAGTTTTACCCCGGTACTAGCGATCCATATCCGTTTTATAACAACAGGGGTTGTAAGTTACTGAGACTAGGTACTGGCTTCGTGTACCAGGTAATCAAGTATACTGAGACTAGGTACTGGCTTCGTGTACCAGGTAATCAAGTATACCGAGAAGGAAGGTCTGGGGCCATGCTCGTGTACCATCAAATGTCTCAACAACGCAGACAAAAGTAAAGTGTGGTTCAAGATACACGTGTTGACAGCAAGACACGTTGTGTTTGATGACCAGGAGGTCAAGTATGTCAGTTGTGTCTTTGGATTTGACGACGAGAAAAGCCCTACTGTGAGTCTTGACACGTGGGATATCAAGGACACTGACACTCGGTGTGACAGGTGTTGGATGACCTGTGTCACGTGTAATTTAAAGCTGGGTGACGAACTCGTCTCGATGTGTAAGCAATTTAAAAGTTCGCGTTCTGTGGTAGAAGACAGATGTAAACAACTAAATAAAGTGGACAAGTTGACCATCATCGTGTCACACCCTCACGGGTGTCCCAAGCAAATGTCTATTGGAGAATGGACGGAGAAGAGAACGAGGCAAGGGTTGACATCCTATACCTACAATACGTGCACCTGTCCAGGAAGCAGTGGGGCGTTCGTGTACAGGCCGGGAGATGAGGGGTTGTGGCCTCATTGCCATAGCGGATCAAGAGAAACGTCGAGTTCAGAGAACAAAAATTATAGTTGTGAATGGTACGAATAAGGTAATAACAGTCGTAGCTAGTCACTTAACTTGATGAGATTATAAGAGTCGTGGCTAGTCACTTAACTTGATGAGATTATAAGAGTTGAGGCTAGTCACTTGAGTTTAGTCTACAGAGACAGGAGAAGCTAATAAAATGAGATCAGTTACAATGACGTAATAAAACATAAAATGTTCATTATGTTAATTGAAATGCTGTTTGAGTAAAGAATCCGGAGGGCGTGACCCGTCAGTAAAAAAAAACGAAAGACAACCTTAAAGAAAGACAGCTTAAATTGGTACCTTACTGGTCGGGTTAACTAAAAGCGGCCAGACATTGAACTGGTCACACCATTCCTTCATGTTTCCAACTCACACAAACTTCAGAACTCTACTACATCTGCCCAATTGACCGCCTGGTTTGAAAGGGTAACTATGATTTTTTTATCAAAGAATCTTTCATACACTTTTAGTTAAGATAGTCTGATGTTGCATAATTTAGCAGCAAATTTATTAGACGAATAAGTAGACATGTTGATCCTCATTTAAACGTTGGTTATTATAGAGATGGATGAAACTCTTTGACGTGTACAACAAGGGTTGATGGTGTCTAAGAATGTGCTAAAATATATTAGATGTTATATGTTAGACAACAAATATGCATTTAAATTTGCAAGACATACTTGTAAATTATAATCTTTTTTTGTATTAAAGATAATAAACATTTAAAACTTAAATGATTCTTCAAGTTGTTGTTTTTCCAATGTTTCGTTTTATCTTTTAGAAAATGTTGAATGTAAAAATATTACAGAAGCTTCATTCAATTTTTATTTATCGTGCTATTTCTTAACGATGATTCACTTCAAGGTATGCATGTTTACACCAGGCTTTTGTTTGAAATTTATGTTTTAAATAGAAATCTTACGAGTACTAACGTTGCTGAGTATTTTTAGACATGCTACAGAATGTTGATACAGCGGTGTATTCGTAGCTTGGTAGATTGGCCCTCAGCACAATAGAAAATCATGTTAAGTATTGGATATTATTGTACGGGGTATAATCACACCATAACAGAACGTCAACATAAATAAAGATTTGAATATTCTGTGCTGTCCCTACCCAATAAGCCACTTAGCCTCTATTAACCCAGGTCATTGTCAATGTCATAATCCAACAATTTAATTCAAGTTGGTAATTGTTTAGGGAGTTATCCATTCGACCAACCAGTCACTAGGAAATTTTTCACTGCCCGGAATATTTGCTCTTGAGAGCATTTACAAGGATAGTTGGCAGCAACGACAGTTTGTATTTAATGTATGGCAAATTATTGGTAAGACGTAAATTATGTTCTATTTGGCTGAGTAAATTTCTAATGTAAGGTGCTAAAGCAGAAAGTACTCGTCAATATTTCCTCAAAGCTACATTATCGAATAAAACATGCGACTAGATGGATTAAATCATTTCCGCTCAGTTTGTTTCAGTCATCGGAAATTTCAAGTGCCCACCGGAGAACAATGTCTGAAATAAATAAAGAATATAGGTTTTTGAGTTTGTTTGTTTGTCTTTTTGTGCATTACTATACTTGTCATCCGATCGCTATGCAAGGGAAGGGAACATATTGAAAATACACCTGTGGAGATTTCTGCTGGGAAAAAAATATTTTCAATTTCGTAGGGGCGGCGCCCGGGCAGGGTGCGATTTGGCGCCCCCGGCTTTTCCGCGAGCGCAATGGCATATATGTCAGCTTTAAAGAGTGCGATTGGCTACGAATAGAATGGGTTACAATATTCGTTTACTAAATTGAATCAGGTGCGTCCGCCGGTTCCCCGGCACGGTGCGATTTGGCGCGCCCGGCTTTTCCCTGAGCGCTATGGCATATACGTTAATTTTAAACAGTGCGATAAACTATGAATAAGACGGGGTAGTATAGTCACTCACTAACTTGAATAAAACGCATACGACGGCGCACCGGCAGGGTGCAATTTGGCATCCCGGGCTATACTGTGAGTACTATAGCGCCTTCGTTCTTTTCTAATAGCACCCTCAAAACTGACACAATGTCAGACGACATTTGATGATTAAACCAAGCAATGGGCCGTATGCCCTGTGGTAGTGTAATCGGGGGCTGCCGAGAGCGCCCCTCTACGACCCTGACACCTGGACGGTTGCAAGAGTGTGTTCTTTTTTTCTATTACGCACAGTGATTAACATACACTCCAGGTTTTCATACAGCACGCCTTGTGCTGGGTGGTAGTGTGGGCAAACCCGTGCCCCGACAAATGTGACAGAAGAAATATAGTGAAGGCATTGTTTACATTTAAATAACTCAGTTTTAGAAAACAAAGTTTGGTAACGCAATGATGAAACCCTCTTAAAATATTGCGTCAGACTTTCTTCTGAAACCACGGCAAAACATAGGGACGGCACCCTATAATTTATAATTTTGTCAAAATACATCAGTCGATGTATCAATCTCCTACGGAGGTTTTATGTTAAATAACGTTGTATACCGTGCAGGTGGGGGGAGGATAACAGCGACACGAGCTAGAGAAAAAAATAGTATGTCAAAATAAATATCTGCAAGCATTTTTGTGCTGTGTATAAGAGTATTTAGATAACCAAATAAAGATAGAAGCCAAACCAGACTTAATTTCATATAACATAATCTATGCATTAGTGATGTGTCATTCCAGAAGGTTATCAAGCAAAGCAAATGTATTAAACGCTTCAGTGCTTTTCCTGCTTGAATCAAGTTATGTGTACAGTGCTCAGTGAAAGGATCATACAAACACATCTCTAGGATTTATGAAGGTTATGTATAGCTCAATGCTTTATTTTGCAGTTTAAGTGTTCTTCAGTGTAGCATAAATGTATCACTACATTGAAATAAGCAGTGTGTGTTTTTCATATTGTTGAAAGAAATGTCAAACTAGGATTTCTTTTCGAGAGCCTGAATTAGTTATTCGCCAAAAACGATATGATATGTGATGCTTATGTTTTTTTCAGCAATTTATCAGAATTAAACCTGTTTCAGAAAAAAAGTATCAATATATTTTGGAAAGTATGTTTTGGAAATAATTTTTTTTTATAACAAATTACTAAAAACATCTCTATTATATAATACGTTATTATAAATTTGTTTATTTTTTTATTTGCTAGGAGACGAGAGACTCGGAAAATAGAAATTTCAGGTTTAAAATGGTATCATGGATTAGGTACTTACATTTTGTTAAATGTTCACTATATCGGTATAATTTGCTTGTTTTTATTATTGTTTCTCTGAGTAACACAATATCATTTCATTTAACCTTCTATCAAAAAGTATGTATTGCTTGCATATCGTGATTTATTTATTTTTTATCATTTGTGAGCATTATATCGAGGATAGCAGCTACAATACCGACAACTGTTGTAGTGTATTTATATATACCCGAGAGAATGTTTGTGCGCATGTGCGAAATGTCTGCTTGTTTTGAAAGATTTTATCTCAGTACAACAATCCAGCCATCGAGTATGATATGATAATCTGAGATTATTTTATTTTTTTTATCTAGCCTCTAATTTGATCACTGCATATGAAATGTTTTCGATATGTTTGAAACAGCTTGGCAACTTGGATGTCTACCGTTTCAAGTCTTGTCTCAATAATTTCACTAGTGATTACTGTGGTGATAACCAGCCTTGAAAGGAAAGGAACTGTTAGTTTTATTTTTATTTCATTATAAATGTACAAACATGACACTGTGAACAAAGCCTATTTTAAACTATTTAAAACAATCCACTTCTTAAATAAATTGTATTTTTTGTAAATATAAATAATAGTTCGCGTTTAAAAAAATCAACTTAATCTAATACTATGAACAGTTACATAGTCATAAAAGTCTTGTTTTAATTTCATTATAAATGTTCAAACATGACACGGTTAACAAAGCCTATTTTAGACTATGTAAAACGATCTACTTCTTAAATAAATTGGGTTTTTTTTGTAAATATAAATAATAGTTCGCGTTTAAAAAGATCAACTTAATCTAATACTTTGAACAGTTACATTTGAAGTCATAAAAAGTCTAAGTTTTTACCGATATTAAATTATCTAGGAAAACAATAATTATCTACAAATATACACGCTTAAATGAAGATGTAGTAATAAAAGATTAACATACCTGAATATTAATATCGTAAATATTACTAATTTTTTTCAGTTACATTTTAGTGTGGTAAATCACCTTGCGGATTTTTCTTTGAAACGATCGTCAACCGGTTTGATTGTAAGTACAACATTTTAATTTCTGTCAACTGATAGAAGTAGCCCTATATAGACTTGGTTATATTTAATTAGTTATGCTGCTTGAATCTAAAACGTTACTGTATAGTTATGTTAATACTACAAATGCTGATCTCCTTGCTGGAACTTAGCATTTTATCGGTACTTTATTTTTCATGAGGGGTAACGTTGACTATTGCATTAGATTATATCCATATTACATATGTTATGAGAAAGCATTAATAAAAAGAAATTTTAATTACTAATTTAAAATGTAAGTAGAGTAAGTAATGAAAAATAAAAAGGGAAAAACATTTCGTAATGGCAACGTGTAATGTTCATTAGACGGGCAATGCTAGTGTTAAAACATAAATTTTTTTGGAGAAAGTCAAGCCTAATTCATGTAACTCTAGTCTAATTCATGTAACTTGTCTAATCTGTAAGATTGCACAAAGTATTAGAACACTTTACTTTTTAGAACGACACATCAAGTCCAGTGACAGCCCACCTAAGTCTGTTACCATCTGCAAGATTTCCTGGCACAGATAACACACCAGGTACGACACATTACCTGCTTGTTGATTACAAAATAACTTTCTGTAACTTTTTTTTTCTACACTTCAAATACATGAATTGTGATGTGCACCAGGAAAAATTTTTAAATTACTGCCAGAAGAATTTTTATCAGAATATCCATTCATTCTCCATCTTTATTGTAGTGTTGGGAGAGGGTCAATGGCTAAAATTAGTGCCAAACGCTATAATGATAATGAATTACGTACCAGTTAATTATTTGCTTTCTTTTATTTTTAGATCCAGTGTTCAGTTCAACAAGTCATTCGATACTAAATTTAGACCACCGACCACAGACAAACTTTCATCACACGAGAGGTGTGAATCTTACACGGGAGGGGATACAAGTTCTGTTCTCTGGTTGGTTGAAGTGTACACACAGATATTGATTTAATATTTGGTTAATTCATTTCTTTAAACATCAGGCATCATGACACGTTGTTTTCTTTTGTTTGATCGTGCTCCTGTGCTAACAAAACTCTAGCTATAAAATTATGTTTATTTTGTTTGTTTTAGTTTGATCGTGCTCCTGAGCTAACAAAACTCTAGCTATAAACTGATGTTTACTCAGCTATGAACTTATTTTTTCTCCGCTAGGCCTCTACTACATCTACAGCAACGTCAACTTTAATCCAAACACAACTCGTTACTCGGCAGACTTCACATATCAGGTAAAACACTTTAAAGCATCCGTATGATTTCCAATAAATTTAATATTAATTACTTTATTTCATGGTTATAGAAAAATGTTGGACGTAATTTGAAATTAGTAACTTAAATAAAATGTTCAGAAAAACCTCTTTAATAGTGGTTTAGCATACAACCATAGACGCATTACAGAGCTGGATAACCATTTTCGCAATGTATTGAGTTTTTTTTTAATTATTTATTTAATCATCGTTGCAATAGTTCACAATTCCTTGTTTATCGTTGATTAAATGTGTCCCATCTCCAGACGTGGTTCCAGTACGTCCACCGTCACTCAGCCCACAGCCCTGTGTTATCTGGTGTCTTGTTGAGAACTGTTCACACAACTTGTGCCAACTGTACACACAGCCAGGAAACTTCCTACACAGGTGACTGTTTTATTTTATGGTTAAACAATATTCTGGGATTGAAATCCATCAATACTAAAACTTCAAAATACGGAGAGAAAATTGCCATTGGGCAGATGAAGTGGAGTTCATATGTTGCTTGACTTCGGCATATAAAGGGATAATGTGGTAAGCACTATGCCCAGCCACCTTTACTTTCCTTAACGTTAGTTAGGTACCCATCAGAGTTGGGTGAGCTCCCATTCGCCAGGCAGGCCTCAACACGGCAAGAACGTACCACTAACTTGAACCTGGATTCGAACTCAAAACTATCGGGTTAGCAGTGTAGCGCTCCACCGCTAGACCACGCCGACCCATTGTTGTACATCTACGTCAATTTCTGTGGTTAGTTGTTGACCATATTTTCGTTTGTTACTCTCGTTGTTTTTTTTACAAAGTAGGCTACTCTTTTGGACGAGAAATTTCTATCTCACACGCGTTTCAGAAATGAATATTAGATATTATTTACAGGGTTAAACAATACAACATACTCTGAACTATTTTGTGTTCATTTACGTTTATTTAATCTCCTAGTTCAAAGTATTTTTGATATCGATCCAATATGCTGTTCTTTAAACTAATTTTAACTAAATTATTTTTATTTTAAAGTAATATAATTGATTAACCTAGAGAACGTCCTGTCTTAGTTCAATAATGATTTTGGTTAGTTATTGACTAAACAGGAGTTAGCTTCACACAACAGGTTAAACTATTGCTGAACGTATGAAATAAATGTCAATTAGGTGGTGTCTTTTACCTCCAACAATACGACATCATCCAAGTTTGTGTGTCAGGACAAGGACTTATTGACTTTCAACCTGGGCTGACATACCTAGGTCTGATTCTTTTAAACAATAAGTAATGGTGAGTTTACGTTTTATTTTATTTACGGTTTTAAAATAAATTAAGTTCTGTTAATTTCATCTAATCCTAAACAATATATTGCTTACTACTTCACTTTGAAATGTATAGAATAAAATAAAGAATACAGTGAAGCATGTACCAATCACAATATAAGATTTATATTATCACTAAAAATCTAGCTGTGTTTAGATGCGTGTTTTTAAAGCTGACATAACTGGGATAAAAAAAAACTGGTTTGACAAATCTGCAACAAATTCATTCGATATAAAAGGACAAATTCATGCTTGGTTTTATGTCCTTCAGCCTGTGAATAAATAAAAGGAATGTTATGTGTGTCACATCTCCAGCCTACACTCGTGTAGCATACCTAGACAACCTTTACGTGTAAACAATGTACGTCCTTACAGAGTCGGCGGTGTGCATCACCTGTGTTAAGATATTCCTGGGGTGCTTTTTAATGGGGAGGGGATTTACCTTCAAGTAAAGAACCAGTGTACATAACGCCATTTTTCTCTAGCCTTTTATGTAGTTGACGGTTATTCAAGCCGTTTTAAAGTGTAAAAATATGTTACCATCATACTCTATTAGAGACATGTATTTTAATAATAATTAGGTTATTTTGGTGTGTATCGTATTTATCATATTCGGGCAAGTGTCAATTCCGACATTTGTCCAGTTCGGGCAAGTGTCCATTCGGGAAATCGGCCTTCGGGCAAACAACATTTGGCCAAGTCTCTTTCGGGAAAACATCAGGCTCCCGTAATAAAGTAATGCATCTTAGAACCAGCTTTTTATTAATATTTCCACACCATTTGCACTCCCCTAGATTCACCCCCCCCCCCCCCCCTTAACTCCCGTAGTCTTTAAGCTACGACTTTAACTCTCACTATCAAAAAGTGTGACACATTAGACACTCGACGACAGGGGCATCTACTACACAACCTAATATCCTAGCGTGGACTAGCGGTGGAGTTATTCAAATACTAATTACATATTATTCAACCTAAACGCAAAATTTACAACGTTACGGGCGATTCAATTTAAATAATCCGAAATAAAAATACCTAGCTTAGCTTTCTTTTTTACTTATATTTATTCAAAAGGCGATATTTTAATATAAAAAATGTGTAACAAAAACATTCCATAGTCCCATGGAAGCTAGAAATTACTTTTGGAACCGATTGTTTTATACAAATCCTAGCCCCAACTCTAAAGTACCACAAATACCTAATGTATAATCTGTTGACACCGTTCAGTCAAGTGTACAGTGCTGTTAAGAATAAATGCCTTGGATAGAAAATAAAAAAGACCTGAATAGGTCTCCAACTCGTGCTATTTTTAGACACAGCCGCCATGTAATGTTGATTACGTCTTGATGGCGAATGTTGCTGAATGCCTCGCGATTTCAGGCCCTGACTAAAACCCACTGCTACATGACTGATACATACAACATTAAATAAAAACATACACGGTAGGCTGTTTTTCAATTCCATGTTCGAAAGTACGAATAAGAAATTATATTCTAATACGTGTTTTGCTCTTTTTTATTTAGTAACAGAGAATTTAATATGGAATAACAATTCATGATAACAAATTATCCCTTTGTTGTATCTTTGTTGCTGTTTAAATGTATTGCACTTAATTGATAGTACACAAATTATAAACTAATATTAAACTATTAGACCTAGGTCTAAGTAAATGACAGTTTAAAACAAACGTTGTAAATAATGGTAATTATGTAGATCTGGTAGCACCTGTGTTGTTGTTGGAATAGATCACGTATATTCTTGATTTACATTACTATAGCTTGGCAAATTCAATTTGCGTTTTAAAATTAACCTAAAGAACATCTAAGCATTTTTCGTATTATAATATTACATAATGTATTACATACTTATTTTTTTAGCGTTATACTAAGGGAGAAGATCAGTGTTTCTTCAAGACTTTATTCCTTGATATTTTCAAGGGCGGGTTGGACAACATTTTACGAGGGGGCGGACACTGGTTAAAATTATGTTTTCTATATGAATTCCATTTTGTTCAGTGGGCGGGGGGGGGTAGACTGTAACAAACTCTGGAGTAGATTCCAGAACAAAAAGTTAGTTTAAGACTAAACAAAACAATCATTTCTGTACAGCTTTCTTTCTTTATATATATATATATATATATATATATATATATATATATATATATATATATATATATGTTACAGAGTGCAGTCACTAGTGCTAGCTTTTCCCTGGCACACATATTAGTTAAATAAATACACTCTGAAGTGCAGGTTTACATTAATCGCTTTATTAATCGTATTAATAGAAATGTTACACATAGAAATGCATCAATGTTCTACATAAGAATAAAACACAATGAACCAACAGATCTCCACTGTCACAAGTCCTCACAAATAAATACACGTAACTACAGTTCAGGCTTCAAATCTTTTTCCCCCATCCTCTTCTGTCGTGCAGCCCCTTTTATATAGCCTCCCACCTCAACAGTCGCCTTGTACTAGTTATTAGATCACTTTTGCTTCTATTTTAGTCACACCAGCTCTATCCGTTGCATCATAGCTATAAATAACTCAGTTCAGTTCTGGCCTTGACCATGTCTTTGTTGACAGACTGTATTCCGTTATCAATTGTGTCTTTAGTAACTTGTCTTTAGTAACTATGGTCTAGTTACATATATATATATATATATATATATATATATATATATATATATATATATATATAAGCACATGTGTTTCCATTTTTTATCTGGTTGGAAATCTTGGTAATAATAACAACAGCGGCTATGTTGACATATAACCCATTCATAGAGTTTCGCCAATTCATGAATGTTTTATATTTTAATCCCAATAAAGTAAGAATTCATCATTTTCTAAAATAGTTTTTATGTACTCGGTTAAAAATGTTAAGTGCAAATCTTCAAAAAAATTTATTGTGAATTTTAAAATTGCGGGCCCGATGAAAAGACTAAATTTTAGACCCTGAACCCAAATGTGATAATTCATTTTCAATGAGTATTGGCATTGGGGCAGGCGAAGTGGAGTTCATCTGCTTTTATGACCTCAGCATATGAATCGAACATGTGGCCAGCACATTTCTCAGCCGCCCTAACACGAGTCAGGTACCCATTAGAGCTGGGTCAACTCAGGGACGTTGTGTGGACTCGAGCCCGGGTTCCGAACTGTAGACTTTCGTGTTAACGTTGGAACGATTTTTCAGAACATATACTTTATTTTATTGATAATCAGTTACGTCATTATAATATAAACTATGGGAAAAAATTAAGTTTAAAAGTGAAAAGGAAGCATCAATACACTGTATAAGAAATTGTGTAAAATTTGAGTGATTCCAAATGGGTAGCGATCCATTCTGGCGCATGAGGCGAACTATCAATTTTTTATTTCTATTATACCCCATTTGGCGCCCCTAGAGTTGGCGCCAGGGACAACCACTCCACCCGCCCTCGTCTAGCTACACTTCTGAATGGTTCTATTTATTAATTATTTTTTTGTTTAATTTCATGAATGTTTGTAACAGGTTAAACAATATTGTGATATAACTTTTATTTATAGCAGTTAACCTTGATGAAATGGGGAATACAGGTGGAAAGAACAAAATGTGTGAGTCGGCGTTTCCTTTTTGTGTCTTAACACTAAGCCTTTTTTACTTTCTCGTATACGAAATATGGAGGAATTATAGTAATCCCTGAGTCGGAAAAACATAGTTTTGCAATTCTGTCCGTATTTCTGTGTGTATGTGTGTGTATGTCTGTGTGTATGTCTATGAACACGATAACTTGAGTACCGTTTCAGCTAGGTTGATGAAATTTCATACACAAGTATTATATCATATTAGTTGTTCTGTCTCCACTTTTCAGCGATTTCCGCTAACCGGATGTGGAACTTATTCTACTTTTGGGTTTTCAAAAGCTTTTAACTTGAGTACTGTTTAGGATAGATAAATAAAATGTCACATATACGAAAAAGATCTGTAAAATTTTGGGTAGTTTCCGTTGACCGGAAGTAGTACTTTACGCTATTTCTGATTTCTAAAAAAACACACATGAATTTATAAAGTACTAGTATTCCGTACTATTATACTCATATCGTTTGAAGTTCACTTGGTGTGCAATTCTTTTTACTTTCTCGTATATACGAAGTATAGTGAAAGTATTGTAATCGTGCAAAAAAACCGAGATTTTTACAAATCTTGACGTTTTACACCTCACTTATACGGAAAAACATAATTTAGCAATCTTGTCCGTATGTCTGTGTGTCTGTGTGTGTGTATGTGTGTCTGTTTTTAAACACGATTACTTGAGTACCGTTACAGCTAGGTTGATGAACTTTCATATGTAAGTATTTTATCAAAATCGTAGATCCGTTTCAACTTTTGAGCTATTTCCGATAAACGGAAGTGGTACTTTTTCTACTTTGAATTTTTCAAAACCTATAACTTGAGTACTATTTAGGATAGATAAATGAAATTTCACATCTAAGTAAAAGATATAATTCTCTACCTTCTGTCAAATTTTGAGTAATTTCCGTTGACCGGAAGTGCTAATTTACGCTATTTCCTATTTCTCAAAAAACGCATGTAAATTTATAAAGTACTCATAATATTGCGCACTATTAGGCACATTTTGTTTTGGCGTTTGCTTGGTGCCATTCCTTTTTTTTCTACTAGATTTTATTCTTTTGTTAAAAGTTTAAGTAATTAAAAATCATGTCTATATTCCAAGTTATATAAGAATATTCGAAAAAGTTTAGGGGAGATCACTCCCAGTTTATTTCTACCAGATTCTTTTTTATTTTAAAAAGTTTAAGTAGATCTTATTAAAAATGGATTTAAAAAACATGCCTATATCCCGAGAATATTCGAGAAAGTTTAGGAGATCACTCCCAGTTTATTGGTTCTGTTTCTCGAGATCTTCAGTAGACTTTTGATAGTGAAATAAGTCTAATTTGTTATTTGTATGTTAAAGTTTACTGAACAAATGTTTGTTCGAAATGTAATGTTTGTCAACAGGCAAACTAAATGTCAGTGAGAAAAATAATTATTTTATCTCTATATATCTTTTCTTTTTTTTCAGATGGAACAGGAAGTCAAGTACGTACAAAGCTCGGAAAAGCGGAAGTTAAGGGAAACTTTCAACCAGGTGAGTAACTCTATGATAGAGGAAGTCTCAAGTACACGCTTGTGGAGTGTTTGAGCATAAGCTCGTAACGTAAAGTTTGTGGGTTCCATTTCCACCGACACAGTGGTTGGGCACACAAACTCTTCAGGAGTTCAAGAAACCGATGTACTCTACTCCGTCTATACTATACATAACCAATAGTATATAGTGTTTTTTACTATTTATAAAGTCGCATTAAATCGCATTAAACCAAATAACTTACATTACCCACCCTTGCATAAATTTAGCTAATTTTAGTTTTTAAATTACTTTGACAAATATACCATCTATTAATTGTGCCTTATTCAGGACATCATGAAACCGAATACTGCTATGGAGGTGAAGCTGACTTACACAAGCACTATACCAGCTGTAAGAAGAATCCGGGTCATGTCAACTTTATACCTGTTAATGACTTTAACTTAAGTCATCTCCCCTCACGTTACCATGACGTCATCATGTTGGAGGTAATCAAAGCTTTGTCTGCCCTAACGGTCCTGATAAAGGTCAAGTATACCAGTCTAGGGAGGCCAAAGTCTGTTCCATGCTTCAGTGGCCAGTATCCATTTTATAACACCAGAGGAAGTGACGTGTTGAGGACAGGGACGGGGACGGTCTATGAAGTGCGCAAACACACAGAGGATGGCGAAAAGAGAACTTGTCGTTGTAGCAAGTGTCGACACTCTGACACACCCAGCAAAGTGTGGGGGAAGATTACTGTTTTAACGGCCACACAAGTAGTATTTGATGCCAGTGAGGCGAGAAAGACCAGGTGTGTTGTAGGTTTTGATGACAATAAAAGTCCTGGGGTCAGTCTTAAAGGCTGGAGGATGGCGTGTGCAGACATTGAGAGAGACGACTGTACTCTAAAATGTGTGTCATGTGACATGGAGTTGGTTGACAATCTGTACAATATGTGTGAGCTCTTTAAGGCTCTACGTGGGCAAGTAAGGGACAAATACTGGAGATATCTTGATGTGGACAAGTTGACCGTTATAGTATCACATCCTCATGGCTGTCCTAAACAGGTCTCTATAGGACGATGGACACAAAAACATAAGGGGAAAACTTTGTCCAAGTACACGTACACAACATGTACATGTCCAGGCTCCAGTGGAGCGCATGTCTACATTGCAGCATATGGGACGTGGTGGTGTCCTAAGTATTCCCACTGTGGATCGAACTCTCAAGGAAACTATAGTGGAGAGGGTGTTTTGTAGTATTGATCTTCCAGTCACTCTAACAGCAGCTTTGTCTACTGGTGAAGACTAGAAATAATTTACCTTATTGAGACATCTTTGTTTTTTGTTTGTTTTGTTTTGTTTTTTTGTTGTTTTTATACACGTTTTCAAAAATCTAAGCAAGTGTTTAATGCAGTTTCAAAAAGGGAAAAGAAACAGTTATATAGGTTTTAACACGCACACACATGTGTATATGTTTGTGTATGTGTGTGTGTGAAGACAGACAGACAGACAGAGACATAGACAGAAAGACAGAGACAGGCAGAAAGAAAGAGATACCGATATACACAGCGAACAGCGAAATATGTATTTAATGCCCCATTTGCTTTCGCTACGTGATTTTGAATAAGATTTATAAATTATAAATTGTGTTTAAACACAAAATAAAAGAGAATGTACTGAAATACACTGGTCTTCTAAAATCTATTTATCTTTTATGTCAGCTGACTTGAACTCACGCAAGATGCTGGTGGGTGTGTAGGGTGGTGGAGATTGGAGGAGTAATTTCACTGTCACTCACTAACTCGCTATACTTCAAACAACTCAACGTTTCTTATGATTTTAATTCACATAATTGTTGCGCTGTTAATACTGTACTTGAGCCCTCAATTAACACAGCTTAATTACGCTGCACTAAGTTAAATTAGCTTCAAATGGTAGAATAAATTCTTCAGGGAGGGGCTGGGTTGGGCAAATATTTTAGGGAGGGGGTGGGTTGGGCAAATATTTTAGGGAGGGACTGGGTTGGGCAAATATTTAGGGAGGGGGTGGGTTGGGCAAAGATTTTAGGGAGGGGCTGGGTTGGGCAAATATTTTAGGGAGGGACTGGGTTTGGGCAAATATTTTAGGGAGGGACCGGGTTTGGGCAAATATTTTAGGGAGGGGTGGGTTGGGCAAATATTTAAGGGAGGGGGTGGATAGGGTGGATGAGAGGGTGTTACGTCCCTTACATGTAGTGTCCTCTGCTTGTACGCTCAAAGGACAGCTACCTTTTTTGTATAACGTTGTATTGTGCTAAAAGACCCTAGACTGAGTAGGGTGAATTCAATGGAACTGATAATTTGATTTGAGGTTGAGACAACTACGACAGCATAAATATCATTGCTTTAGTGCAGAATATGGCTGACGTTCTGCTGTAGTCGTCCTACAAATGCTAAAATATTACACAACTGATGACCGCATTGGGCAGACCCATCTGTCATAGGCACTAGCACAGCGCCCGCGCTAGATGTAGCACGTTCCGTGTGTAGAGTCGCATTGGTCTGGATATTCCTCGATCATTGCATGATCTGGAGCACGCAAGCCATGACATTGAAGGAAATTTCGGATGAACAGGGGCTGCCAATCGTGAACTGATTCCTTCAGCGCACCTCATTTGTTTGTTTGTTTGTTTGTTTGTTTGTTTGTTTGTTTGTTTGTTTGTTTGTTTGTTTGTTTGTTTGTTTGTTTGTTTGTTTGTTTGTTTGTTTGTTTGTTTGTTTGTTTGTTTGTTTGTTTGTTTGTTTGTTTGTTTGTTTGTTTGTTTGTTTGTTTGTTTGTTTGTTTGTTTGTTTGTTTGTTTGTTTGTTTGTTTGTTTGTTTGTTTGTTTGTTTGTTTGTTTGTTTGTTTGTTTGTTTGTTTGTTTGTTTTGTTGTTTTTTGCTTTTCTTTTTGCCTTTGAAGCAGCTTGTTCGTCAGCGCTGAGCTTACTTCTGCCTATAGGGCTTGTAAGTCTAAGGTCTCGAAATCTACTAGCTGGCAAGTACGAGAACGAGAAGTTTTGACCTACTTACAAGCCCTATAGTGGTGAAATAAAAAGACCCACCTCATCTAACATTCGATTTCTTTCTAGCTTGAGCCTCATGTGAATAACAAATAAATTATTGAACCAAACGACACAAAAAATGCAATGATATAGAATCAACTCGGCTTTGATTTATTACTCACTGACCTTATATAAATAAGTAGATAGTCCAAGGGAAATAACAATAAAAAATTATAAACCAATAAGTACGTCAAGATTGTCTCTCTTTTGTCTCCAATGTACGTTATCTTTAAATGCATTTGATAAAGCAAAAATTTAAAACTTGTTAAGTTCAGCCTTGGAATTTTTAAACGCTTAAAATTAATGGAATTATTGCTGTTTGGGGGACATAACAACAAGAATAATAAAACGCATCTAGTTGGGAGAGCGGGTGATAGTTCATCTGTTTCCAACTGTACGGTTATGTTCAAACTGAGTTACTCGTTTATTCATTTTGATTGTAAATTTAAACAAAAATAGTTGTAATTCAATATTAAAACATTGAAAATATTTAAATAAAAAATGGCACCTCTCACACGATAACAGTGAAACTTGGGGGGGGGGGGGGGGTTAATGGGAAAACTCCTGGTAAGGTTTCTGCGAAAAAATAAAATGTTAATTTCACAAGGGCCCCGGAGACTCCTTATAAGCGATAATGAGTTAAAATTTCTTAGGGACAGCATCCGGGCATGGTGCGATTTTACTCAACATGAGATATATAAAAATAAAAGTCACATTCGGTTTGGCGCCCAAAGTTAACAAGCGGGTATCTTAGCACCTGGTATCGTTGATTGGGCGTCCGGTTCAGGGGTAGTACTTCATTCAACAATAAAACCGCACCTGGCGCATCAGACGACATCCCGGCGGTTAAGAGACCCCGAGCGCTATGGGCTCCCCCGTGAGCACTACGGTTGAGTTTTGTCAGACAAGGTGCCCTTCTAAACATAGCGATTGATAATCCACGTTATCAGCCGCTCCTGATGAGTCTCGACAGTTTTTCGAATGGCTAAACAATATGGATAAGCGGAGCTACTATAATCGTTTACTAAATCAAATCAGGCTCGTCCTCCAGCGCCCCGGTCTCTCCCATTAGCACAATTTAGACGATGTGCTATTATAACCATTAACTAAATCGAACTAACCCTAACCCCTGTGGTCGGCGACCTGCAGCACCCCGAGCAACAGCGTGAGCACTATGGCACCTACATTCGTTTTAAAGAGCACCCAACAATAGGGACACTGTTGTACACGACATCCAATGATTACACGGTGACAGAGTCCGCAATTGTAATCTTTATGTTTTTACTTTCTTGTATATACGAAGTATAGAGAAAGTCTTGTAATCGTGCAAAAAAAATCGAGATTTTTACAAATCTCGACGTTTTACACCTCACTGATACGGAAAAACATAATTTTGCAAACTTGTCCGTATGTCTATGTGTCTGTGTGTGTCTGTGTGTCTGTGTGTAAACACGATAACTTGAGCACCGTTACAGCTAGGTTGATGAAATTTCATATATAAGTATTTTATCAAAATCGGAGATCCGCATCAACTTTTGAGCGATTTCCGATAAACGGAAGTGGTATTTTTTCTACTTTGAATTTTTCAAAAGCCTATAACTTGAGTACTATTTCAGATAGATAAATGAAATTTGATATGTAAGTAAAAGATCTAATTTTCTACTTTCTGTCAAATTTTGAGTAATTTCCGTTGACCGGAAGTACTTATTTACGCTATTTCCGATATCTCAAAAACGCATGTAAATTTATAAAGTACTAATAATATTGCGCACTATTAAGCACATCTTTATTTGGCGTTCACTTGGTGTGCAATTCTATTTTCTACGAGATTATATTCTGTTTAAAAAGTTTGAGTATTTAAAATGGATTAAAATCATGTCTATATCCCGAGTTGCCTTCACCTGTAGTATTATATTAGAATATTCGAGAAAGTTTAGGGGAGATCACTCCCGGTTTATTTTTGGAAGGGTTCTAAGAGAGACATAGTTTAATTAATGAGAATTCAATTCATTAAAATAACAGCGCCGACCACCATAAAATAGACCTTACGACACATAAACAGCAATAAAATAAATTTAAGTCGTTATATAAACAAATAATTTAATTTATAATAAGACAATGCGATGCACTGAAAAGCACTGCATGGTGCGGTGTTTACTTCTATAGTACCAAAATCCATTCCGATGACTGAAGGAAGGAAGGACTGACACACTACCAGCCCGCTTGCATTATATACTAGATGTATTCCTGTGCACCGCCACGGTAAATCTTTTTTAAATGTGCCAACTTGGGAACAGAACAAAACTAAACACAGCACAAACGAACGCAAAAAAAACAAAAAACAAACACACCACTCAACACACAATTTAAATGCAATCATAAAGGTATATTGATCACATATTGATTTCTAACTGTGTTGTTTTCAGTGTTGCTTCAATCTGAATTTCCAGTACACATATTTTTACAAGCTTTTATTTAACTCACTTCCTCGTCAGTCGTCAGTCTGTCTGTCTAGATCGAAACGCCGGAGTGAAAATTCGGACACTTCTACTTGACCGATACAATTCACAGTTGGCACGTTGGTCAAGACATGAAGACAATGCAATCTGAAACTAAATTTGACTTAATTGGATGCCTAATTAATTTTTTATGAATTAATTAAAATTTGGACCGAATTAGTAGGCATGTCTGCCTGGTGCCCTCGGACTCCCGCAGCCATGTGGGCTGGAGTGGATGAACAGGGACTGGGAACGAAAGGGGTTTTTATGGCCCTACGGCAGATGTTTCGACCTGAAGCTAAGACCTCCTCGTGGTCGCGGAAGGGGACCCGGGTGAGAACCCGGGGAGCTAGCGGTAGCTCGGATCTTTAATCTGTACGTCCGAGTCCTACGGAAGGAGCCGCTGTAGGACTTTCGTAGGACGGGCTCAGAAGAGCCTGGTACGTCGGACTCCCAAGTCCCCTACATGAGCGAGCCAGGAGATTTGTCCGCATTAGACGGGCGAATCTCCGCTGCTTGCTCTAAATAGCGTGGGGGAGGAGAGGTGCAAGACTGCCGGGAACCAAGAAGGGTTTTGCTCTCGACCCTAACCAGATATCTTGACTTTAAGCTGCGGCCTTTACGTGGTTTCGGATGTGTGCCACTAGTCGGACCAAGCTCATGACTCGCCTAGAGGTTTTTGATCTGGCCGAGTGGAGCTGCTGTATGAGTTCGGCTCTTCCGAAGGGCCTGGTATGTCGGACTCCCAAGTCCCCCACATAATAGCGTGGGGGAGGAGAGGTGCAAGACTGCCGGGAACCAAAAGTCCGCAACCAGATCTTTTGACATTAAGCGGCGGCCTTAACGGGGCTTCGGAATAATGCCAATGGTCCGACCAAACTCATGTCCCCCTAGTGGGTGCGGAATGGCCAGTGGCAGATAACAGCAGCTAGAGGGTTTTGATCTGGCGGAATGCCCCCCACGATCAAGCTGGGTACCAGGCGGTGGGACGACGTCCCGCGTCTGGTGGGTGGGGAAGGAAAGCCCGGTGAGAACCGACGGAAGTAGCGACCGATGTGTGGGAAACTCTTGTGGTCGGAGTTTGTTGCACTGAGGCCTGCCTGGCTAATGGAAGTCAAACCTTCTGAGCCGGTTTTCCGTATAAGGAAGGAAGTAGGCATGTCTATCCGACCACACCACACGTGTCATCACGTTCCATAGCTGATGCATCACGTTCAATAGCTGCGCCATCACGTTCAGTAGGCGCGCAATGGTTTTTAGTCATGTAACTCTATTGTAAATAAAACATGTAAAGTACTGAAAAAAATTTCATAAAAAACGTTTTAATAACAAGCTTTTATGTAATAATGCACTAAAAAGTAGAAAATAAATTATAGACTACTATTTAAATAACTAGAAAAGAAAAGCGTGGGTGTCTTTCTTAACATTAGTAAAGGTATGCAATAAATACTAAAGTGACTCACGCTTTTCTTTCTAGTTATTTAAATAGTAGTCTATAATTTATTTTCTACTTTTTAGTGCATTATTACATAAAAGCTTGTTATTAAAACGTTTTTTAGGAATTTTTTTTTGTCTTTTTGTCTTTGCTCAACTATTCATGCTTCTAAACACTTAGATCTATGTATAAAACGATTTTCAATACCTTAGATTTATAAAAGTATTTTATTTTTTTACCGAGTAACGTCAAAAATAATATTATTTCCCCCAATGATCATTTCTCTACTTTTAAACCTAGAAAAGTTTCTCGCATTGATTCACTCTTTCAATTCGACCCCCATACACAATGTCAGTGGAAAAGTCTGTCCGAAATTCGTCCTAAACAATTGACGTCGAATATCCGCACAGGATCTTCTGTTGGTTTGACCAACCTAAATAAGCTAAAATTCAGGGTATACATTTTGTTCATATTTGTATATTCATATTACATCAGCTATTTGTTTAAAAGCTGGGTATCTAAATTTAAAAAATCTATCCGAACTGGGTCACCTGTGCGCTACTGAGCATTGATCTGCAGTTACGTGCGATAAGGCTGAACGGCCGTAACACAAAAGGCCTAGAGCAACCAAGTCGTGAAGAATGATTCAGTTATCATGGTTGAACTGGTTTCTTTAGAAGATCGAACAACTGCCAACAGCACCAATAACTGCCAATAGCACCAGCAGTTATGAATGTTATCTTATATATCGCATTGGCATGAGCTTATGTGTTGGGGAATGATTTAGATTAATCAAAGTTTGTGACTGTGTGGTGAGGTACAAAAGTGTGTGACTGTGTGATGAGGTACGTAAGGATGTGACGAGTGAGAGTAGGATCTGGTTGCTGGGGAATACTTTAAACCAGTTTTCGTTATGTTGTATTAGAATGTGGAGGTATTCGTCTGTCGTGATGTCAAGCATCCATTTAAGTTGTGAAAACTGTCGTCGGTGTCTTTACAAATAGTGCAATAAACAGTGGATTACAACTAGTTGTTCTTGTTCGATGATTCAGATTCATCGTCGTTGGATCCATATTGTCCTTAAAAGTGTCGACCAGAGTTTCTTCCAGGCATCCACCCACCCCCAACAAAAATTTTATTCTTTTACCAGTGTCCGCCCCCCCCCCCTTCCCCGGAGAAAAATGTCTAGAAGAAACACTGGTGTCGACCCCGTCTTAAACTCGCATCATAACAAAGACCATCCCTAAGCCAATTGCAAAAATAGATTTTAACGCAAATATGTTTGTCGTTGTCTATGTAATACCAACTTCATTTCGAACGAATGACTATAAAGTGGAAATAATTCTCACATTGACCATTTTTTAAAGAAACAGATTTTTATTATATTCACACACACAAAAAATTACAAATGAAAAAAAATGTACTAAAAAATAAATTTTGTTTGGTGTACCCTTACTAAGGCAATACGCTGGTTTGCCTGAAAATAAGTCTAGGCGCTCACTTATGGGGAATAGATTTATTCCCTTTCATTTGATAGGTTTACGTTCAAATACATAATATAAGACCTATATTCAATTTTCATCGTTGAGCGCGCAGGATTTTATTTTTGGGATGGTACTTCCAGAAGAGCAGGACTATATTTAATATTATTGATATAAGTATAAGGCAAAACAAAGTGTATTAAGCGTGTATCCCAGTACATAATTAATCTTAGGTTTTAATGAAAACCAACATTGAAATTGATTTGCAAATTAGATCTAGAAACCTAGGGATGAGCGATCAGTTATTTTCTTCAAGCCTTCAGACTTTAGTGTGTGACTTAAGTATTTGTTGTTGTTGTTGGTGGTGGTGGTGGTGGTGGTAGTTTTTAAATTGTCCTAAACGGAGATCATCTTGAGATCTTGATCTAGAAATCAACAACCGCTAATTGGGCTTTCGAACTGAATTAATTCTTGTGAACAAGATGTGCATTTATAATTTTAAAAAAGCATAGCGGCTATTTGTTTCTTAGGGCTTGCTTCAGGATTTTAAAATACTATCAGTACCCGAAATGCTTCATTTATAAAAAAAATGTATTAATTATAGAATCAAGGCTATTAATTTAGGACAACTTGTTACTAATTCAGATAAATAATAACAAACTGTACGTTTCGTTAAAAAATAGAGTTTGATGGAGCCTTTTTTTCTTACATATTTTAACAAACAGTAGTCCTAAACTATGTAGGACATCCTTTAAGTCTACACAGCTAAAAACATTAATTTAGGTATATCATATCATGATGGCATTTAGCATAAAGGATAGAAGTGTTTAGGTAATATAATGATGACGTATAGCATACAATTGAGATGTGCTTAGGTTATATTATGAAGGCATTTAGCATAAAATTGAGATGTGCTTAGGTTATATTATGAAGGCATTTAGCATAAAATTGAGATGTGCTTAGGTTATTTTATGAAGGCATTTAGCATAAAATTGAGACGTGCTTAGGTTATATTATCAAGGCATTTAGCATAAAATTGAGATGTGCTTAGGTTATATTATGATGGCATTTAGCATAGATGTTACATATGCTTAGGTTATATTATGAAGGCATTTAGCATAGATGTTACATATGCTTAGGTTATATTAAGATGGCATTTTGGTACGGTTGTGAGATGGCATTTAGCAGAAATGTGAGGGTGGGCAGGATGAAGAACATAATAACATAGGACATCCTGGTCACGTCTGAGCCATTTGTGGTGGTTTCCAAGCACATGTGTGTGGTATTAGCCACAGTTGTTGTTGCTGTTGTGGTTGAGGTTGTGGTTGGGGTTGTGGTTGGGGTTGTAGCCTCAGGTGTAGTGGGAGTAGTAGGGCATTTTGTCGTACCAGAATCTGCAAATAGCATAACTAGTCTTTAAATTATGACACATATTTTTAAAGAGTTTAGCTTAACTGTTTTATTTTAAACTGTCAGTTTTATAAGCAGACAAAAATGAACAACTTAGTAAGGTGTGATTTTTGCTTGAAAATAAAAACTTTTGATAGAATAAGCATTCGAAATTTTTAAAAAATATTTATCTGGAAAATTTGAAATCATTAGCTACATAAATGAACGTCAAAAGAAAGTTTTAATATATGAACACACACTTACAAACAGGCTTATATACAATTGAAAAAGCTCGTTTCTGTATATGATGCTAGTTTTATTTATTTGGACGACAATGTAAGGATAAAACTTACTGTAGATAAATGGCTAATGTTTAAACTTGGGGCAAAAGGTGTAGTGTTCAAGTTTTACTACAACGTATTTAAATTATTTACATATACAAATCTCGGGTTCAGACAGGAATCGTCAAAACCTTGATTATTGATTGGACAGGACTTCCTGGCCTAATATATATATATATATATATATATATATATATATATATGTGTGTGTGTGTGTGTGTGTGTGACAGAGAAGTCAGGATATATATATATCTTATATATATATATATATATATATATATTTATGTATATGTGTGTGACAGAGAAGTCAGGAACCAGTTTACTAACCCGTAAGTCATCGCCCACAAGATCAAGCCCTACCACATGTGATATCGTGGTAGCTCAGCTCCGTATCTTAACATCCTAGTTTTTAAATAAATCAACTGTAGGGTCATTGACTTGACATTTAGAAATCGATACCACTTACTTGGCTCGATGCACAAGAAGTAGCTTTGGATAGTACAGTAATCGGTAGTTAGTTTTCTTGAGACAGCCTCCACTTTAACACACTGAAAGCCATAAGCTGGTTCACCCTGTGCCCACCAATCAACAGTTACTTCCGCAGCCGCAATATTCGTCTCATCCCACACAAAGATATTATCAGAATCATCATCGTTGAGACCAATCCAGAAATATGCTAAATTAGTTAACAATACATTTCAATATAAAACTGACTAATTACAAAAATGTGGGCTATTGTCATGCGAGCGTTATTCGTTCATATAAATAAAATTTTGTTAAAACAAATGGACAAATTGGTGAAATAAAACAGGGCTAGTAGTTGTTGCCCGTGGAAAAAAAATTAAACGGGCGCTAGGTTTTAAATCTTTCACACTTTCAATTCCAACTAGTAGTGATCAAACATGTTCTGTAGCTAATTAAATTATTTTTATTGGATCTTTAGTCACAGACAATTTTGTACTTAGAACAGATCCTACAGTTATAACATAATCGACTTATCATCACCTCATATAGTTATTTATACATAACGTCACTGTCATAAGAATTGAATTGTAATTCTCGTGTTGATCAACGTAGTAGAACACTCTTACCGGTTAGAGACGGTTGGAATCTATTCCCCTCCTCTCATCCCCTCACACTGGATCTTATACCCTTCCTACTTATGTAACCCCATTACAGAGGATATTATTCCCCTCCCTCCTTCTCTCTCCCTCCCACTCAGACTCAGAATTTTTCTAGATTTAAGGTTCAACTATCCATTTCTAATACAATCGTAAATTGCAAGTAATCTCCTCTCTATTTACAAGTGTATGTTTAAGTACAAAAAATAATCCAAAAGCAAAATTAATAATTAAAAGTTGGATTAGCGCAAGGATCAGGGTTGTAAGGTCACTCATACACATGACATTTTATCTGCCAAATTTAAAGAGTGCTCAGGTTATCGTGTTTCATTGAAAGTAAGTATTACTTCTGGTTATCGAGGATTGCAAAAAAGCTGTCAGAAATCTCTTTAAAAAACTCTTTAACATAGAATTTAATCTCTTAGAAAAAAGAATAGAGCACCAAGTGAAAGCTAGAAATATGTGTGTAATAGTGCGGAAAATTATTGGTACTTTATAAATTCAAATGCGTTTTTTTCTGAGAAATCGGAAATAGCATAAATTTATTCTTCCGGTCAACGGAAAGTACTCAAAATTCGACAAAAGGCAGAAAATTCGATCTTTTACTCACATGTGAAATTTCATTTATCTATCTGAAACAGTACTTAAGTAATAGGCTTTTGATAAATTGAAAGTAGAATAAGTGCCACTTCCGGTAACCGGAAATCGCTGAAAAGTTGATACAGAACTACAAATTTGATATAAAACGTTTATATGAATTTTTATCAACCTAGCTGTAACGGTACTCAAGTTATCGTGTTCACAGACACACATACAGACACACACTTACACATACATACACACACGGACAAGATTTTAAAATTATGTTTTTCCGACTCAAGGAAGTGTAAAACGTCGAAATTTGCAAAAATCTCGATTTATTTTGTGCACGACTACAAAAGTAAAAAGAAGCAAACCAATGAGAATTATATCAGATAAATCGCAAAACTAAACCTAACATAAATTTAAACTAATCCTTATTCCATGGCTAACTCTAAGCCTTCTCGGCAATCAGCGTTCCCATCCAGTTTTTTTTTTAAATAAAATATCTTCCTCCCCCCTCCCCCCCCCCCCCAATATTCCACAGGATTAAATAACACAACATATACTCAAATGAGGTTTACATAAGGAAAATATAATGATAACGATACTCTTAGAGCTTTTTTAATTTGACAATGACATTTAGCAGACGTCATCTATAATGTAACAAATACCCTACATACCCGTAGTGCCGAGAGCTGTGATGACGTCATCTAATTGCGTCTTTGATTTAAATCTTGCTAGAACACCACCCATGCTGCTACATCCGGCCTGAAAGGTATGTCATCAGTGTATGTTGGGTGTAGTCAATATGTGGTGTAGATCATCAATTAGCAGGACATAATATCTTGTTATTATTATGGTAAGGGGACGGAGTGGTCTAGCGGTAGAGAGCTGGACTGTAAGTCTCGAGTTCGAATCCTGGTTCAAGTCAGTAGACCGTTCCTGAGTCCACCCAACTATGATGGGTACCTAACTCACGTTAGGGAAAGTAAAGGCGGCTGGGCATAGTACTGGAAACACAGAAACAAGTGAACTCTACTTCACTTGCATTATAGACCGTCAGCTTATTTTATTAAAAATATTGTTTAGAAGTTTTAAACTATAAAATTTAGATAAATGTTACAATAAAACAAACAACAACAAAAAACGTTTAAATTTATACGCTCTTTGATGCATTGACTGAAAATAAGAAAATTAAACTAATTTATATATAATTGATATGAGAATAATTCGTCGCCAAAATTATTAAGCCATATTTAGTCTTGATTTCTCCCTTTTTACTATTCAATATAGTTATTTATTATTTAAAATTATTTTAAAGCTCAAGTGTTTATGGTTAAGTCTCATCAATCACAGATATTTTTAAAAACGTTGCTTTATATAGCAATAACTCTATGTATTCTTTTTTTTTTAAGTGAACCAACTTGTATGGTCGTATATCATCATTGATTTTTCATGTTCTTACCGCTGCGTTGGCCTTGTTTGCGTAGTTTGGAACAAAAACAAAACAATTCCCATCTACTA